TACAGGCCTGGGGGAAATCCTAAAAGTTATGGGTTTCGCCCGAAAATTGAGGATAACTACCATGTTTCTTACAACTTTTGGGAAAACTCCAAAGTAGGGAGATTGGGAAACGCTGTATTTATCCCTTAAGTCTCGCGTAGCAAAGGTAGATATATAAGAAAAACTCATCTGTATACATTTGAGTAGCGTTAATGCTAAATATGCATCTTAATGGTTGAACCAAGTGTGCACTTAACAAACAGAATAAGCTTTTGATAATAATGATTTGTATTAATATGCTGAAATAGATAAATTATTAGCCTATCACTAAAATTAGACCATCTCTTTAATATATTGAAACTGTAACGACACGTGTTGAAACGTAAAGTAGTTGTGTAGGGTTGAAATAGTCTGGAATTGTGACGTAACAAATCAGCCCAGAATTGTATCGGATGGGTCCGCTCTGAATTATATTGAACGAAAATGTGAACCACAGTGTTTTCACCAAGCAGTGTATTTCAAGAAATTACTGTTCAGGAAAGTCAAGATAGTTAGACGCAAAAAGGTGTATTAGAAAGGTATACCGCTAAAGGCTCCGAACTAGTCACGTAACTGGACACAAGATAATTAATAGGATTGAATTCGTACACATGGCTGTCTCGATCTTTTGTAACCGAAATGAATATGCAAATGAATCACTTTCATATTTTTTCATTCAACGCTAAATTTCATCTTATACATTTTAATGTTTGTTTTATTTAGGTTTATTCAGCAATATTAGGTTATGTGGTTGCGTTAGATCTAACTGATCGACCACTTCAGAATCAACTAAAAGCAAGTGGACTACCATGGACGTTGGCCAAATGCTTCGACACAGCTTGCCCTGTAGGGCCAATTCTTCCATTGGAATCGCTACCGGCCGGTGTTTTAACTTCTCGTCAGGAATTCCAAAATGTGGATAATGAGATTTGGTTAAAAGTAAACCAGTTGGAACGACAACGATCAAAATTGAATATGATGGTCTGGACACCAGCAGATTTAGTATCGACAATTACCAAGAGAATCTCACTACAATATGGAGATCTAATTTTAACCGGTACACCTGCTGGTGTAGGACCTCTGAAATCTGGTGATGAAATTGAAGCTGGATTGGATGATTTATGTTCTATAAAATTTAGCGTAGAATGACTATGTCGTAACTGAAGTTGATTGTCTTCGTAAAATTATTTAGTGCTTCAATGTATGTTTGCAAGACATTGTTCTTAAAACTGTTTAACCTACCTTTACATTACGGTTGTTACTGTGTTAAGATTATACTTTAGTTACTAGAAAACTTCTTTTTAGTTATGGTGTTACCATTGTTCTGATTAAGCATACTCGTTTAGTTACTTTCATCCTCAGTTTTATTACATTCTGCTACGTAGCCTTATCAAAATACATGCCTATAAATAGCTGATGAGTAAATCTAATGTGGAGCCTTTTTATGTTTTTGAAAGGTACGCCTTGACTTTCTCAGTACAACAACAGCAAATAGGTTAACTCAACAGACCTTTTCAAAGAGAAAGCCAATTAGTAGGACGTTTGATTAGCTCTAATTAGTAGTTAGTTGTGTAGAATTAATGTTGGGATTATGGTTTAAACTTAAACACGTACATTATTTTCTAACCACATGGTTACTTCGAAATAATGATTAAAGGCTAGATCGAAGAACTGATAAGTTTCTGAATCCTCCTTATCAGCCGACCCAAATGAGTAGTTAACGCCCCACTAATCCCAAGTTATTTCTCGTTATTGAAGGTATTGGCGTAGGTGGGCAGTGAAGATCTGTCATTCCACAAATGAGTGGAGTTTTCATATAGGTGCTGAAAGTATTCCGGTTATCATATCGTTTTCTGTATGGCTGTGCTGAACGTGTCAGAATCGAGTAGATGGTCAGTCCTTATGTGATTAAAGATGAACATCGACTTCCTCAATTGGATTTATACTGCTCTTAAGTGGAAATTAAACCATATTTAACGGGTAGCACTGAATGATGTTATCTGAGATGGTTCCCATGATCGATTTGATTTGAGTAAATACAACTAAGTAAACTGTAGTTTTTGTTTGACATTTATTTACACTTCTGAAGAGCTTTACGATTTACAAGGCTGAGGAAAATTATTAAGCCAGTGTGTATAATTAGTATTAGATTATGTTAAGTAGGGCCTTAGTCAACTCACAAACTTCAAATCTGCTAGGTTTTCTTAGAACGCAACTGAAGATCTTAGGAGTTATATTAGATAAATCTAAACAATCCTATTAGTTGACTGGAACAGTGATTGGCCATATCATAGAAATCGCACGCAATGTAACATATTTCATGTTGGAGCTACTAATGATCTCAAAATGAATTGTTTCTGTGCGAACAAAAGAAAATGATTTGAGTTGAGATCTTTTTCTGAAGCAGCTAATACTTCGACGCTAAGTAGATTATTTTGCGTTAGAACACCAATGTTCGTCATGTGTAATTTTCATATATCACTTGTTATGCGGAATCCTCACTATATTTGTTTGTTTTTACGAGATTAACTAGTTTTATGTTCCGGGCAATTAAATATACTATCTTATTTGTGTTGATTTTTTCCACAAACGATCGGAACCGACGATCATCCCTTCGAATGATAGACAACTGTCCGTTAATGTGAATTAGGGACGGACATATACATCCATATCTTAAGTATTGTCCGGGATGTTAATGTTTCATCTTCCTGGTTCTTTTTAAGACTAACAACTTCCGAGGTGTTGCCATTGAATGTCAGCAATCCTTTGGAGACAACGGCGATCAAACACACAGAATCGCTTAACAACTAGGAGGCCAGGTTTCACTAGCATAGGGCAAAACTGTCCTCATCAACGCGTTCATCGATTCTAAACAATCTACGGAGAATGATAAAAATTTGGACACAATTGGAAGTAGACTTATAACCCAAGTTTTTGCAAAGGTGAAGTAAACCTTTCTAAAGATAGGGACGTCCACCGATTCATTCCAGGATACTGGAACACTATTTCCTCGACATTTGCAAACAATTCAGTTCAACATCCAGGTCGCCACCTTCATTAAAAAGGGCCGGAGGCAAGTCATTTGGACCTGATTTGTGGCACTTCAAAAGTCGGCGTCCCTTAGGTTGATCAGTCGACACTGACCATGGAAGACAGAACAGTCTGATCAATATGATTGGGGTGGCGAACCAGCTTAACTGAACAACTTCCGGTTCCCTACTTTAATAACATTTTAGCACTACGGTCCCAGAGTAATGGGTGAAACTCGCCATACTCCACAACCATTTGCAACCTTGACAACTGTGTTCTAAGATATAGAAAGTAACCCATGGTGTCTTCTAAAGAAGAATTGAAGACAGTTCAGCGTGGATAACCTGTTAGAAGTCAGTTCAACAAATACAGAACACCCGAATAATTCAACTTATTCAATTCAGTTACTGATGTTAATGTAACCACAATAGGAATCACGTCATCAGATGTCACTTCACTTCTCATCAATGTCCCTTCAACGTAAACCATGTTTTGTATGTAACGATATTGAGAACAACATCCTCGATACTGATGTTCCAAAACACCATCTAAAGAAATTACTCCTAAGATGTACATTCAGTGTCCAGTTCAGATTTAATAATGAGTTTCACAGACAATATAATGTCTAGGGTTCCATCGCCCGGCCCTCTTCGAGCAAATTACTTTATGGCCAATCATGTGGATGCAGTGCTTTCACCGATGATTGACGGCTCCAAAGGCCAGATGAGTATACTACGATGACATGATAGATGAGGACCTATCCAAACTCCAACAGATATTCCCCAAAAATGGCTACCGACCCAGGTTTGATGGGTAAAAGGTGAAACCTAAATTGCAAGCTGCACGACCCCATACATCTCGTAAGAGAATTCTTCAAGAAACTTGAGTTCAAGAGATACTATTGAAGGATTGTTTTACGGAATCTTAATTACCATCACTGCTGTAGTTTACTCTTTATCTTACATTTGTCACTGCAAATTTTCGATTAAGCAACTCTCTTCGACATGACTAGATGTAATCGCAACCCGATTTTTCATATGACCACTTTGATTGCTAACTGTAAATACAATTGAATAGCCGGAGTAAATTACGTCAAAGGAGAATTTCCTCCGTTGAAATGTTTTTTGTCATATGCGTCAATAACAAACAGCGGCTGACCAGTGTTCGACTAATAAATACCAAATGAATTGCGCTACAAACCAACACATCGACAGTCATTACTGGTACTTTCTGCCAGCTTACCTTCTACATTTCATGCAAATAACCCTCGGCTACAAGCCCAAAGGAGTTCAAGAGAACACCGAGATACGTAAAGCGTCTATTAACTACCACCTAATCCTAGATATCAAATACGTGTCTGTCACAGTATAGGTCCATATATCCGTCTAATTGATAACCACGAACAAAAACCAAGTGCCGACTGCAGCGCATTTTACGCTGACCTTGCATCACTATGCACGTAACAAAGTCCTCATACTCGCTAGGAGCCCCTGGTAGGGCTTAATCCGTTTTCCGGAAAAACGAGACACGCACCCCGGGTTCATCTACTAGCTTTATAAGAAACCATACAGACCAATTACACCCCAAGTCACCAACCTACTAATGAAAAACGTAGATATAGCCTTAGAGCGGACCGCCGAACTATTTAAGGTACAGTAGGCTCAGCTTAGATCATGAGACAATGACCAGGCCTCAACTGGCTTTATCATAATACCAAACCCACAAACGTTTCGCAATCTTTTTGTGAAGTTGTTCTAAGTAAGTGGAACGATTTGACGCGATTAGTAATAGCATTTGGTGTTGAATGGCTTTTCCTAATTACGAATGGACAACGACATAACTATGCGTCATTCGACCGTAACAGGACTTCAAACTGACGTACAGTACGAGTCACAAAGGGTTAACCCAAGATGCGGAATCGCGTATAGAAATGAAGCCGACAACAAGGAGAATTCGACATAATGCATTTATTAGTTTATTTTTTCACAGCCTTCTTCACAGGCTTTGCAGTTTTTTCGACCGGCTTCTTCAACTTGAACTGTTTCAAAATGTTGTTGCGCTGCAAGAGAAATAAAATGTAGTTAGTTATACGAATACAACTCGTCAGTAGATTGAAATCATCAAGAAGCACAGACGGCTCTTCCAAAATCTCATCATAATAATTGTTGACTCACCTGTTTACGAGCTACCATGACTTTAAACCTGTCAAAATCGGTCATAGCCGCTCGTAGGGATTTGCGATGAAGCTTTCGTGCCCACACAGTGTTCTCCCAATCCTTAGTTATGTCATACCTTTTCCAATGTCTCTCGACTGAATTTGTACCACATCCATGTGGAAGTTTGTACTTTAGCTTTGTTAAATGCAGTCTGTTCAAACTTATTTCTTGTCTAGGAACGCCAGAGCATGGCCCATCGATAAGAACACGTCTTTGGTCAATTATTTCTACGATGATTGCCACCTTTTTAGCATAAGGTCCAGAGGCAATGAACACAACGCGCCCAGCCTCTACAAACCTTGTGAAGTTCACCATGGGTGAAAGCAGTAACCTGGAAAAAAGTATGTTTGGTTACCCAGAGAATGGACACACGATTGTGTTCATTAAGAAAAATTTATTATGAATCCCAAATTAGACAAGAGACATTTTTTATAAACTGTCTGTACATAACCATTTTGTTGCCGATTAGGCTTTCAGGATCCTATATTAAACTTCATTTGGGTAAACAAAACTAGGCAGGTTTAAGCGTCTTGAGCTTAGTACTAAAAAATAGAACCGTCCACATATTGAAAAGATTTTTCATTTCAATGGCGATAGGAATTTTATACTCTCACATAAACTGGTATAAAGTCATTCACCAAAGTAGTTATTCAGCCAGTTAGCCTCAGCTATGCACCTACAGAATGTGTGCACACTTAGATGAAACGTGATCCGAGAAAGTCTTCGAAAATTAGCGTAAACTTCTTATTGGCTTAAAGAATCGTTTTTGATATTATTGTAAGTCAACAACTCAGTACTAGTTATGAGACTGGTACCATAGTGCTACGAATCAGATAGCCTAAATTAAACAAATGTATGATGCTCGATGTGATGCCTACGAATTTTGAGTAATCCAAAACTGTCCACAGAATTTCTGAATGAGATTACTTGACTACGAGAGAACTCATACAATTTACCTGAAGACTGCATATTCGCAACTAAACCTTCAAGACGCAACTAGTACAACCCAACCATACGACTCACCATTCCTTACCTGTGCCACACGCAACTCAAGTAGCGTTCGAGAGACACACATCGCACAAGTTAAACAACACGCATCCAATATCCAATACATATTTGCAGCGAGCTAATATATAATACTTGCTTGTTCGCACTTACGTTTTGGTGTCATAAAGTGGTTTCAGATTAATGAGGTTGCTCGAAGTTTTGATCTACGTTACTAGAGAGCATAATTTTTTATTTAATTTGAAAGAAAACTAGATTTCAGTTGAACTCCTTCTGAGGCCTCTCCAGGGTTACTGTCTGTCCCATATCTGGACAAAATAGGATGGCTGAACTAATGGTTAGCAATATTTGCTTCTGAAAGCAACATCGATACAAAACGCCTATCAGAAAAAGTCATTTCATCCATTTGAACGATTGACTGCGGTTTGAAGAGTATTCGTCTGGAAGAGTTATGATGCATCGCGGCTAAAGACGAGATTATTCGGAATTCTTGAAATCAGCACCTTTTCTGACGATCAGAACAATAATAAAAATAGCTACACAGAGTGTCCATGCAATGTGTGAGCCCTCGCAATATGTCTGTTAGTGTAAGTAATAGCCGTAGAAATCGTCACAATTTCTTCATTGAATAGGGTGAAAGATATGTTGTGATAGCAGCAACGTCTGCCCAGACTAATATGGTGGTCTGAGAAGTTACCGTGTGACTTAGGAATACTATCACATCTCAAATTTGCACTTATCAACTTTCATAGAGATTCCATGTTATTGATGTTTCATGAATAACTGTGTAATTTGCCGTAAGTGATCGCCTACTTCAGTGGTGGCCACTAGCAGGTCGTTGGTTAATTTATATACTCTTAGAAAACCTCTTATCATCTGGTCAGCTAATTACTAAGAAGTTTGCGTTGCACAAGTTTGTCCGAAGGATATGTGTGGGAATTCGTATAACCCGAAAGGAGTCATCACTACCGTCCTATGTTTGTCCCCTGGCTAGGTGGGAATGAGATCTGACAGAGCCGATCTTGAAGAAAATGTTGGCGACATCCATATCATCGGTAGTCGTGGTTGTGTGGTATCGGACATCCACTAGCCATTGACTGCATGCTAAGGTCTCAGTAATCTCAATATGGGCAGGATTCGCCTTTTTTGGGAAGTATGTACAACGATGACGCTCAAGAGCTGTTCAGAAATCTTTCAATCTTTAGCCTGGTCGAATTATCGAATCCCTGCTTTACTTCTTTTAATCTTTTCGAGTTCAACATTTGTCGCTTGTTCGTTACAATGTGATTGTTAACAGAGTGCATGAGATCTGCATTATTGCCCGTTATCTTTGTATGCTCAGCAAATTCTGCTGACAGAAACTTATATGAGTTGAGTTGGTTTTTATCTACCACCTAAAATAGAATCAGTAATCACGGATTTAACGATGACATGCTTCAATACATTAGGTGGCTTTTCATGATTCACTTTATCGGAAACAACTCGTATGCTATCTGCAACTTTATTCGAAGGAAATGTGATTGCATGACCGAATTTTCCCCAAAGTTTAAATAATACAGTTAGCCAGAAAGTAATTTTCAAGTCTGACAAACTATAGTTGTGAGTCGGTTGTCGTAAAGACGGGATAGAAACATTAGGAGACCTTATGGACGACGTTTAAGAAAGCTTCGACACGGGATCTTCAGAAGACAAATTTATAAAGCGTAAGTAGTACACAAATAAAACGATGTATATGTATGGAAAAAAATAAACCGAAAATAATTATGGTAGTAAGAAAGGATTCAACAGACAGCTGGAAAACAGCATTTCAGGAACTGAACACAGATTTTCTTATAGTTACTGACAAACTCGTTCAATTTAAATATAGCCTTCTGCAATAAGTTCCAAGTTTAACATGATTTACTCACAGAAGGGAACACTACTATGAAGAGCAACTGGAAAGAGATTAAATTAGTTATGACCTCGACATGTCAGGAGGGACTGGACCCCAAGCAGCACCTGTCATCCAGAATTTATGTCGTTTCAGACAGATCGCAGAACGATAAAATTTGGGAATTGAGGGAGATTGAAGACCGCGGTTTTACCAGTGGACTATGCAAACCGAAATGGAACAATCATGGTGGAGCTATCTATAGGTATGTATGATAATAAGGAGTATTCGAACTATAGTACGAGCTAAGAATCCCAGAAATAGCGCAATTGGATCAAGAAGTACTAGATAAGCTATGATGATTAGGAGTATTCGAATTATAGTACGAACTAAGAATCCCAGAAATAACACAATTGAATCAAGAAGTACTACACAAGCACTAACGAATGTACTGTATTTAGAGTTCGAAATCAAGCATTCAAAAAGCACAAAGGAAATATTAGTTCATTCAAACGCCACAGTATGCTTTTCTCCATTATCTACTGACCCTCCTATGACAAAATGAAAACTGACACTAGTATAATACAATGTCTTCTTAGCACTGTCTATGGTCGCTTGATAATCAATTTCTTCTGCTTACGATAATAAGCCAAATTACACTCAACAAGTCACTGTTAAGGGTGTATCTAGTGGGAGACGAAAAAAGCAAGTTCAGTAGAGCATGACCAGCCTAGTGTAGCTACCTGGTCCGGATTTACTGACACGTGCTGAGTGCTGATCAATATTTATCTTGAGAAGTTGAAGTAAAGTACTTGATGTCTGGTGGTCAGTCTTTAGGGACGCAGGCACTTTTAACATCTGATAATGAATTGGTCAGAGTTTAGTGTATTTCAGTAGGATAATTACATGTTCTCCTTTGTAGTAGTATAATTATCGTGTCATTCTACATTGATATAAAACTTTTCATGTTGGAATATACAGAAATAGGGATAAAACTAAAGAATATAGCAGCACTATCAAACTGAATACTTTAGAGGGATTTTCAAAGCCTCATTCCGTTACCCACTACAGACAAAAGTTTAATTAGGAACGTGAATGCTTGCACTGTTCCGTAGACATACTTCAAGTAGAAACTTATTAATGTTCGTGTTGCAGATCTTTGGAATCTTTGAAAGTGTAATTGATAGCTAGAGTAGTCAACCTGTTTCAGATATCATCAAGGCTTTAGAGACTAATGAGTTACCAAAACAATTTATAAATAACATTTATTGGTTATGATTATGAACTGTACTTATCAAAAACTAGACTGAGGTGCTACAGGACAACATTTAGACATTTGCATAGGCAAAAGATGATGTTTTCTTTGCTTGTTATTAGCATTTACCCGGTTATTTGTAAACTACGAACATATAATGGATGAAAATTTTTTGTTGGGAATAACAGTGAATATCAGCAGGTGATTTTGATGAACGAGTTCAATGTTTATCGACACATTGCCTCTGCATAAATAGGAAATCAGTAGATAGTCCGTTGAATAAATTAATCTGAAAGGTAAGCGTGATCACATTTATTATTATTATGTAATTGCTTTCATCTTCGGAGAATTTTCGGTTGTATTTTTAATTGTACCAAATGGCTCAGATATCGAATTATTATAGTCTACGGGATTTATATAAAGTTGGATTCTCACTTCAGCTTTTTTGTCAGCTATCACAATTAGAAGTTAGTTTTATTCAGAATAACTTTGTTTTTGCCTACCTTTAAATACGGGTATTGATCATTAACAACGGCATATTGTATATGTAATAACGAGTAAATTCATAAACACTGACTAGGCTCTTAAATTAGATTTATTATGTGAGATCGTTGGATCTGAGTGGCATGGTTAGTTTATGACACCAAAAAAAACAGTTGCATCTGAAAGCCAGGTTGTAAATGATTTGACCACATGAATCTATTCAGGAGACGCTCGACAAGACTATAATTTATGAATGAACCAGTCAGATATATGGAAACTGGTCTCGGAGTTTGGTGCAAAATTCATTCATCCATCTGGCTAAACAGCGTTTTGACATTTCCTGATGAGAACTTTAGATCTAATTTCTAACCGTAATCAATAGCCGTAAATCCTAATACTAATTCCTCACACTGGTTTATAGCTATCATTCAATTCAAGTATATGAGTGGATATTCTCAAGGTCGCTTTGACGCTGCTCAAAGGTCGTTCATTAATTATAGTCTCACCACCTACATTATTAGTAAGCACTTTTTATTCGTAAGATGTGATTTATATCAATTGAGACGATCAGTTCACCGAGCTAAGGTTGTTACAATGGATAATCTAAACTGACCAAAATCATTATTATTGACAGGAGTAAGGCAAAATTAACTACACAAAAATTTTAAAGATTTATTAGGAATCCGGAGAACTTGGCTACTTAAAAAAATAAGCAACTACAACAACAACAACTGATATGACTATCACAATAAATAAAGAATTACGATTTAAACTCTTATCAAGCAGTCTTATAACCTACTATCTATTTTGTTTTAGTGAAGACTGAGTCACTTTTATGCTTTGACTTTATTGACCTTGTTCGACGTCTCACGATGTAATAATTCGTCGACTGACACCATTTGGGATAAGGCGTTGGTTGGAGTTAGTCGATAGGAAACGTTGAACCTAAGTTTCCTGCTATTTGACACTCGTCAGCAAAGTGTACCTGTAATCATGACGGAACTGATGCCCCCTGACAGACTTGACTCCGTGTCACCCAGCTTGACTGTAGATCGATTACCTCCGACCACCACTTCATCTCAACATAACGTACTCGATATCAAGTCATCTAGACTGGTGACCATATTATAATTTGGCCTATAGAATTAGATCTGCATTAGGAAGGACATGATACAAATGATATTGGTCACTATCCAGTGATCAATCAATTGTAAACCCATTTCGAATACCCGTATGAGGCCCTTCTGAAGTGCGCACTTATGACCTCGTAAACATAGAAACCAGGATCTCCAGGTTTCATAATGAGGTTGTTATCTTTAGTCCATTGATTTGGGGTCCTGTGGTAAAGATTTCTAAGTTCAACTGATTCATAATATAGACTCACTGCTTATTCAATTGTTATATACTGAGGGGCCGCCGAGTAGATGAGCAGTGAATTATCGATCGGATCAAGGACGCGTAAAACACGTGCGAGTGGCCTAGAGTTCTGATTGGCCCTGCTTTCCTTCTAGCCCAGCCAGTTAAGTCCAGAACATCAATCTCAACCTCTGCAATACGAATCGTTATATTCCAAACATACTGAGTTTATATACCAGCCAAACAGACCACAACGTAGCATAAAATAGAAAATAACATGTGTACAAAATTTGGCCAAATGTGGCTGTGAATGTGGATGGCAGTGACTAATAAACAGGGCATAATTCCAAGAATGGTAAAACGTATAATAATGGTTCGTAGGTCAAAATAAAGCTTATAATAAGAGGAACATAAATATGAATAGTTTAGTTCATTAACAATTCATACGATAAAAATATACGTTTAGTATTGGTTTAGAAATAGATCCAAAAAGTTACCATTCATTTGTACTAATCGAGATATAACAGTCACCAACTGAACCTTTCAGATCACAACTTTTCAGTGAAAATTCTGAAATTTATCATGAATTATGTTATTAGTAACAACGTCATCATAGTTTTATGCTAAGAATGTTGAACAGTTTGATATCATAACTCATAGACCAGGGAGATTGTTGATCATTCAAATCTAGTGGCAATTAGAACAGTTGAACATATTCTTGTCAATATACCAGTAATAATAATAATATTATTATTATTATTATCATTTAGGATCCAAAGAATTTTCACCAATCCATATAAGTTTCTTGTATTTAGTTACATTATAGATTCTCGGATTCATTTTATTTCTGTATCAAAGTAACTTGTATAAAGTACTTCAAGGAAGATAGATTCACTGTTGGAGTTACATAAAATGTTAAACATTTCAGAACTTTGAAAATGTCTTCCAGTTATCTTTCTTTCTTTTTTTCTTTATACAAACATGTTTACATTTGGACAGAATAGAGAGAAATGAAATTCACATTGTTAATTAACAATAAGTATGATATGGATATTCTTAAGTTACCTTGAATGGTACTTATATTTGCTAGTAGATTTATAGAATCTTTCAGTAAGACTATAATGTATAGACGACATTTGAATGACGTTAAAGTGACCTTTTGGATGTATACCCTAATTAATAGGGCTAAATGAGAGTTATAAAGAAGGATGAAGAATAAGGATTATGATTTACAGTTGATGATTAAGGTTAGGAATTAGACCTAAAGGTAATCATCATGAATAGTCACCAGCTAAAATGACAAAACTCTATATGGCCAAAATGGATGGACGAATTTCGTGCCAAAATCCCAGAATTGATATCCTAAACCTGAATGGTTCGTCCATAGATAATAGTCTCATCAATCTTTCTCCTTAATTGTATTTTAATTGTATAGATTGTCTACTCATGTTATTTCCTCCTCTTGATTGTTTAGGCTGAAGTAATTCTTTTAAACAAATTACATTTTTGTCCATAATTGAAGATCATGTAGGCACTAATAAGTTGTTAGTAGTATTTAACACAGTTAATTCTGTTCTGTGAATATTTAACTCATTCCTAACTCTGAATCTTCTGTTAAGTACTGTTATGCCTTTGTCAGTGTGGTATCCAAACAAACTGTTCTGTATGTACATATTATCTTTCCTATGTCAAAATAGATTCAAAGATGAGATAAGGAAATTTGTTGTATAATAAACAGAATTACGAAGGGTGTAAGGTTCTTGTTAAAGACTTTAGTCAGCTTATTTCATGTTAACTCCAATTGGTATTGTTGGCTTGTATCTTCGCATTGTCGTTGAGGACTGTAATTGATCAGTCTCTTGCTGGCATGTGTGCATCCTGTGTGGACTGCCTCGATATTGTCCTAATTCACAAGCATTGTAAACAATGATGGATGGTGACTAACAGTGGAATCCAGGACGCGTGTTTCGTCTTATTTGGGACTTATCAGTTGGATGTACCTGCATCCCAAAGTTGATGTTCACTCCAGGACAAACTATACCAAGTGAATTTAAACTTCATCTCATTGCACAAGCAACTGGCTATCAGGACTCAGTAACGAAGTGGATAATGTGATGACGTTTAAAGAGAACGGTACTAGTTTGGAGTCCCAGAGTGAACATCAACTCTGAGATGCAATTACATCTAGCTGACGAGTCCCGAATGAGACAAAACACGCCTGCTAAATTCCACTACTAACCACTATCCATCTTCGCTTATATCCTGTTAACTGTTTATATAAATCATTATTATCAAATTGATTGAACAAGACTTAAATGTTATGTTTTGTAGGGAATGAGCATAGTATATCAGGCAACATAAACCATTCCAGGAAAAAAATAACAACGATCTAGTTAAATTCACCATCATTTTACTTTTTATAGATTATCACAAATCAAAATGAAATTGTAGAAAAATTCTTATCCTAGAATTCTTTTCAAAAAGAAAAGAAAAGAAAGTATCAACGAAATAACGAAATACAATATTCCCTAATGATAACCATGCAAAATATATTCTTCCAAGAAATTTTTTTCATAGAAATAAACAAGGCACTTATTTATTTGTCAGTAGTATAAATAAATAAACATAATTTTTAGATGAATAGTCTTATACTTAAGGTTTAAGGGAAGAAAGTAATGATTTTTTTGTAGGAAAACATTATTATTTTTTCGAATAAAACATGATTTTCAGGAAAAGAATGAAATAAATGAGTGATTCATTGTAGCCATTCTTGGCATAGTTTTTCATGTTTGTTTATTTTTGTTGTTTTTGTTTCGTATTCAAACGATGAAAATTATGACTAGTATATGTAACTTTAAAAGAGAAAAACAAACTTCCATTTATCTTGGAGATTAAATGTATAAATAAAAGATAATAATTTAAAAAGAATATTGTTTTGATTGTTTTTGAGAAGTTATCCACTCTGTCTTCCTCTCCCCTCATTCATCCCCCCACTCCCTTATCATCCACACACCCCTCTCTCTCTCTCTCTCACACACACACACACTCTCTTTTGTCATGAAACTTGATCAATATTCATTTTAACAAATAAATTGAACATTGAATTGAATATCTCTCTCTGTCTCTGTCTCTCTCTCTTATGTATTAAAATGAATTAATTTTATTCTCTGATGAATCCATTGAAATTTTTCCACTCCCTGAACCAGCTCCACTATCTGATTGTGAATTTAATGTATCACTAAGACTTGGTAAATGAGTTAAAATTTGTTCATTATGAGTAAGCTGATTATGATTAGTATTAGTAGTATAATTAGTAGTAGTATTATTATTATTAGTAGTAGTAGTATTAGTAGTATAATTTAATTTATTCATTAATGTAATTAATTGTGATTGTGATGATCCTATTGGTTGTATCCGATTAATATTTGGGGTTAATTGATTTGTATAATTTTTTATTAATGAATTCATTGAATCTATTGGTATGATATAATTAGATTGATTTATAGAAGAATTTGTCAATGAGTTGATATTCTTTAATAAGATAGGATTATCATTTGCCGGATTCATAATAGGTGATTCACAATTGATTGAATTTGATGAAATAATATTGATATCAGATAAAATACTTGAATCTGGTTGACCAATACTACCAAAACATGAACCCATACCATCGGAACTAAGTGGATTGATTGTAGTGAGATCTGTATTATTATGAGTAGTATTATGAGTAGTATTATTTAAATGATTTTGTAATTCTTTAAAATGTTGTTGATGTTGTAAATAGAAATTAGTCACAGCTTCAGTAATTTGTTGTTGAGATGAATGATTTGATGTAAGGGAATTACCACCGTTACGTTGTATACTACATATTGATCGACGATGTACATCAATATTACTATTACTATTATTAGTAGTATTATTATTATTATTGGTAGTACTAGTCCATGATATTGGGAATTGACCGGGTACAAGAGAGAATGCTGATATAGATTGTCTATTACCTGATTTACCATCTGGTAAATATCTTAAATGTATATCCCCTGATAAACCATTCGATGATTGATTATCATTCAATAGAAATCCAGGATAATTTATTCCAGTTAAATATTCTGATCCATAATCAATAGATGGTTGATATGATTCATATCCATTACATTGAGATTGAATTTTATTCATTAATAATAGACTACTTCCTTTTTCATTCATTTTATTACTATCATGAAGGAAAGTACCTAAACGTTGATGTTGATGTTGGTGTTGGTGTTGGTGTTCATATTCTAGTTTATCACGATAACTACGACCTTTTCCATTGATTTGTTTTACAATACGTGCATTACGTATTTCTTCAGCCATACAGAATAAATGTTGCATATGTGGAGGATCTTTTGATTCTAAAATATAAAATAAAATCATTGAATAATCTAATAGGTAGATATGCAATTAGTGTTAGTTACAAATGTTATCTGATATTCTTTAGGAAAGTAAATAGTTCAAATCATAATAATGGTGACTATTTATATTACTGTTACATAATACTGTTATATCTAGAGATTAGATTAGATGCTGGTTGGAGGTAGTCGACAGGAAACCCTGGACACGGGTTTCGTGCAAGATGTACCTGTAATCTTTGAGGAAACTAGTGCTCCCTGGCGGATTCCATCCCGTGTCACCCAGATTCACAGTAAGAGATGTTACCACTGAGCTTCCTCCTGTAGGACTGAGATGTAATCAAAGATTACAGATATACCTTGCTGATGAGTGCCAAGTATCACGAAACTTGGGTCCAGGGTTTCCTGTCGACTACCTACAACCACCTGCAGTGTCGAGTCACCTAGACTGGTAGCCACATTGCAACACGATCGATAGCATTCGATCTGCATTAATAAAAAGGACTAGACACGCATGACATTGGTCACCCAGTGATCGATCAATAGAGGTTAGATTCTTTATACACCACGTATGACTTAAGCAGTCAAATGGTATTATCAGTATTATTATTTGAACACAGAGATATTGATACAAGGAGGCACCAAATACACATGCGCCACACAAGTCACTTGATTTGTGTGTGGGCTGTGATACTGCCCGGGTGTGCAAACCGAAGCAGGTGGTATTCTTACGTGGCCACACCCGGAGCCTTCGACCTGAAGTCTGATCCACAAGGCAATGGAGCATCGTAAGGAGATGTAGTCCCATGGTAGCCGGTGACCAACGATTGGTTCATACGTGATTTGTTCACTCAGGATACTGGGGTCCATGTGCATCATTGATTTGGAATCAGAGTTTTCCAACTCTCCTAGGTGGACTCTCCATGTCCACCAACCCGGTCAAAGCGTCGGACATTCGATTTTCGTCCTCTCAGTTTCGTAAATAATAGTAATGTCACGAGAAGGCAGTGAGTAGGACTTTCCTAGCAGAGGCTGCATACGCATGGCCATGTGAGAGCATTTCGAAAGTGAGAGTGGACTCTCTCCACTCTCGGTCGTACCAGGGCATTTGGGGGCGAACTTTCGAATGGTAGAACCCTCACAAGTCACAATTGAGAAAGATAGAAGAAGATTAGAGAAAATGATTGTTGAGCAAGTATCAAAATGTATAGAAAATTACGGGTATTTATAGATATAACCGTTTGTTAAATTAACATTATAATTCAATTATTTCTCAAAGAGGCATGTTATAGTACTGACCACCAATTGTAACATGTCACGTTAGTATTCTAGAAATCTTCATTACGTTCCTATTGTATGGAATTCTTTAGCTCTTCTAGAGCCTTTGGAAGCTTCATCATAGTTCACGGAAACCGTCTCAACAAATTCTTTCTTTTTGTCACTTCCAATCACAAGTCCATATCCATTAACATATCGAAAAGTCAGTTAATCTTTTATAATCGTAGGTTATATATGACAAATTGAACAGAATTTTCCGAAAAGTCTTGCTAATTGAACGTTAGATTTGGTTTCCTAAACTCTTCTATTAGTCCCCAGTCTAAATCTTCACTTCTTATTGATGACACATACTACTCATATCTGTGGATATCAGTAGTACACATGACAATATTGTTTAGAAAGACAATGAAACTTTTTGTTGGGGACGTTAGATCCCCAGAATTCACTTGGTAAATGCTTTAATTTTGTAATTTCCTTGTTTTCTTGCACCAAAAGCGCTCTTTTCACCTTCATGAGAATCTTAAACGCTATTGGTCCGTTGTGTCTTTTAGTATGCTATTTTGTAACTCTCCCCCCAAAGACAGTTTTGTACTGTATATATATATACGTTTTGATTTGTGCCTATTGTTTTTGCTCGTGCTTCTGGTTGCTTATGGAATATATTGCTTATTTTGAACTTCGACTTCTTCCTCTAGTTCACGGGTCTGGGACGTATCATCATCATATCTACCTTATTGATTTTCAGTCACAAGTCTTTGTTCTGTTCGCAGACTAAGTGAACTTGTCATAACTTGAAATCTAACACTTTTATGATCATACTTATTCAGAACATACAATCTAAGATGTTCAAAATAGATATTCACAAAGTAATCTGAACATTATCAATCAGTTAAGGATACATTTGATGGATTACTTACTTGAATATTGACGAATTAAAGCACATCGAATACAACAGAATACATTAAGTATAACTGAAATGAACACGATAATAATTGCACCAATAATTAATATTTCACGAGTTAAAGCAGCTAGAAATAACAGTAATAAAAAGAAAAGAAAAGAAAAAAATTGATATTAGAGAAAAGATCCAATAATTCTACAAAGAAATATATAAAGGTTATAGAGGTTAATTGTTCGTACGTGAAAATGATAGTTCTTGGGTTCGAATCTCATGAGGCAAGATCTTGGATGATCACTGTCACTGAGGAGTCCTACAATAGGACGAAACGATCGTCCATTGCTTCCAGGTTTTCCATGATGGTCTAGCTTCAATTGACTCATTATCTCAACTATTGAAATATATATATATTAGTAATGCGGTAATCATTGATCATGAGTCATACAAAAAGTACTTGCTTCAGGTTTACTACCAAGGAAGTTAAAAAAAAGTCGGCTATTTCAACTGAAATATTTACAAATATATCTTTGCTAAACTTCAGAGAATAGACGATTGTGAAAAGTAGTCTCGTTTTATGTTAAATGGTTGAACCGAACCAGAAGAAAGATTTGAATATAGATTTCATACTAGATGTATCCAGCATGATTCTGTTATAATTTATGGCCCTGCACCCCTACAAATAATTAACGTAATAATACCACCAATTAGAGAACAGTGATACATCGACTGGACCAACGACGCACAAAACCCGTACACCAATCTCAGCCTCTGAGATATGAATCATGTATTTCAACCGTACTAGGTTTATATACCAACCAAACAGACCACATCGCAACATAAAATGGAAAATGACATTTGTACAAGATCCTGCCTAAAGTGGCTGTAAATGTGGGAGACTGTAATTGATAGACAGGATATAACTCAAGAATAGTAAATCGTATAATAATAGTTCATAGGTCGAAATCAAGCTCATAATAAGAGGAACACGAATATGAATAGTTTAGTTACTTAACAGTTATACAATAAAAATTTATGTATAGTATTAGTCCAGAAATAGATTCCAACAGTTACCATGCATTATTCTCATCGGGATATAACAGTTTCAGAAGTCTTTTTGACGCGCTTCACTGTGAACCACTATTTCCATTCTATTCAACTTATCCGTGGAACTAATATTATGGGATTTATTCAAGAGATTCGTATTACAACAGAAATTGATTATTAGTATAGGGTTGTAGAGATTGATGAGTTTTTATTGAGACCATGAACCGATCAGAGTTAAAACACGACTGAAAACCTTGAAGCACTGAATGATCATTTCATTCTAGTATAGAACTACTCATCAGTATGCATCCACCATCCTAAATGTGGAAATCGGACCCAGTATCTTCAGTCTTACACGAACGCTTGACATCTAAATCACTAATCGGGCAACCGATAGTGTTAATGCCTAAATTCAACTAATCCACGATATTGCTCGACCATCTTCCATCGTTTTCAGTAGGTAACTGACTCATACCTAACACAGTTCAACTCTTCTGATCACGACTTCTTATTAGAACTCCGGAAATTACTTATCGAGACTAATCACTAATGAGCATATAACAATTATCAGTATAGCAAAATATCATAGATTGATTGAAGTGAAACATTAGACTATTGGATGCCGGATCAGTGATCTAGACATCAAATCATTAAAGTGAGATCAAGTAGATCATAATCACAATTTCCTATATACAACCATTATCGATTGTTAATAGTAATACCCTATTCATTCTTGTATTGATTGACTTTGACCATTTAAGTCTTCTCATTAGTTTGATTTTTATATTGAATAGTCATTACGATGTTTACTGTTATTGATTCATATGGTTAGTAACTAAAAAAGAACATTAATTTTGTTTACTAACTAATAACCTAATTATTTGACTAAACAATAAAGTAAAACATATTTAATTAGTAGTATAGGGTATGAATCATATAGTGAATGATGATCGGTGCCGAAAGCATAGGAGTAGTTAAACAGTAAACATGAAACAATTTACTATTCAATGTTATTCACTTTTATTTCATTAGTATTGTATAATAATTATACTACTTATAAATAGAACTATGCTATTGAAACTACTTATTAGTAGTATAATGAAATTAACGTAATTATATATTCTCAGAAAGGGATTTTATGGATATTATAATGATTTAATAGTTGAATTCATGAATCGATTAATGTTAGACTACCATTGAAAATCTGAAAGCACTGGAATGTTGTTTCTTCCTACTAGAGAACACCTCAACAGTACGCATCCACAATCCCGTTAGTAGGATTCGAGCCCAGGATATTCGGTCTCGCAAGCGAACGCTTAGACTCTAGATCATTATTCTCAATTATATATATATCAGAACGGTTTGTAAATTGGAATTAATATTATGATATAAATCGTTAGCTATGAAAATACTATGAAATGGTTCCCCACTAGACTTAATATTGAATATCACTTGATTCAACTCCGTACAGATCATATTGTAAAAGTTTGATTAAAAGTTGAAGCTTATAGAATCCAATTATTTGATTTATATTGAGCTTCTGCCGACGTTAACAAATTAATGGCGTTAATTAAACAGTAACGTATGAGATTAAATGGTTTAATTTGTTTTTAACAAGATTTTTTTCTACGGGATGGAGTTACCGACCTCACGCTCAACCCTCCTTGTTGACCCTGACTTGGAACCAACAGTATGTTTAGAATGAACATCAATATAGTCCTACTGTATGGAGCTGAAAGGTGAAGAATTACTTAAAGCATCATCAAGAAGGTACAAGTATTTATAAATAGTTGTTTACGTAAGAAATTGAATGTCTGTTGGTCGGATACTATTAACAAAAGCCTACTATGGGAGAGAACAAACCAGATTCCAGCTGAAGAGGAAATTGGAAAAAAATACAGTGGAAATGGATAGGACATACATTACGCAAATCATCAGAGTGCATCACAAGGCAAGTACTATCTTGGAATCCTGAAGGGAAACAGAAAAGTGGAAGGCCAAAGAGCAAAGAAACAGACATGTAAAGGATGAATAATAACTAGAAACAAGTGGAAATGATATCCTAGGACACAGTTGCATAAACAATGCTAGCGAGTAACTTATTCACCTTCATAAGGAATAACCGACATAAGTAAGTTAATCCGTAAAACAAGTTCAGTAGATAAAGAACAAAGAAATAAAAGTAAAATATCATTAATTAGTAACTAATTTAAACGGATCAATCAATAGAGAATCTTTTCCATTATCCTATAGAACAAAAAAAAAACACAAAACAAAACCCAATTATAGTTTATACCATTTTGTTTACACATATATCTTCATATTGTTTATAATGTAACTATCTTCTTATTGTTATGATAAATGTCTATACTTAACTATTTAGTTAGACTATTTCTCATTATCACAACCGAATATCAATATGATCTAATGTTTACTAATAACTGAGTCATTTCCTACTACCATTAATAATATATACAATAGAAAACAAGATTATACCGTTAACAATTCCTTCTTTTTTGTCGTTCCCGCTCCCCCCCCCCATTTATAAATGTCTCCATTGTACATGCATTCACATATTATAGATGTACAAGGCATATAAATGCGAACATGTATTCATCTGCCGCTTTATACCAATATTCATTGAAGATTTCAACAAGCATTAGAAGTATATTCTATATGGTATACATGTATATATATATATATATATATATATATATATATATATATATATATAGAATAAAGATATAGGTTTATGTATAGAAAGATATGATCTTACAAGTTAGTCATGAGTTTCCACTCTCACACCACCCCATTACCACTAACCCCACCCCATTACCACTAACCCCACGCCACCCCTCGCAAAAGAAACCCAACATACATAAATAGATAACACATTGATGTAAAATGAATGATTTTTTCATTTTCAAATGAATAATAATAGAAAACAATTGTATATTCTTTATGTTATAGTTATATTGTTAACAAACTAAAAGGGAAACTGAAAAAAAAAAGAAAAAAAACTCGCAGGAAACTGGAGAAAATCGAGAGAATAAACAACTCACAAATTAGAAGAGTAACTGACTCCATATCTAACCTTCCTTCTTTACCTCAGCTTGAAACAGAGTGGAATGAAGAATACTGGTGTGAGGCTTATGCTACTTCATGAGGAGTAACAAGCGTAAGTAAGTAAGTAAGTAAGTAAGTAAGTAAGTCAGTCAGTCAGTCAGTAAGTAAGTAAGTGAGTAAGTAAGTAAGTAAGTGAGTATATATGTGCCTGGTCTTACGTTCTAGCTGACCGAATCTTAAATTCATTATTTTCAAACTCATTACTAATTGACTGATTAGCTTAGTTTAGGGCAAGTTCATGGAACAGCTAGTCTGTCCAACATAATTTGACTGTATTAAAATTAGACATTAACACCTTTGGATGTCAAATCATTGATCTAGATGTTGATCATTCGCACTCGAAACCGAAGGTCCCAGGTCCCAGCCCCGTTGGTTCGGGATCATAGGTGTGCACTGATGAGGTGTTTCATACTGGGACGAAACGGTTGAGTTTTTATAACTGGTTTAGCTTAAATCGATTCATAAATATTCAATTAGTTAAAATGTTGTTTTCTTTTTCTAATTTACAACTTGGTAAAATGATTTAAATGTCATACATTTGCTGAAAATTAGTTAAATCTCATACAATCCATTATATACATAGATAAAGTAAAGGCAAATAATTAATGATGGTTCATACATGTAAATGTCATGTATTTTAAAAAGGAAGTTAAATAGTAACAGAAAATAAGCAAAGATGGATAGTGGTTAGGGTTAGGGTTAGGGTTAGGATTAGGCAGTAGAATCTAGGATATGCGTTTCTTTCTATTTGAGACTTATCGATTGGATATACCTGTATTACAGTGTTGATGTTCACTATGAGATTTGAACCGAATAAGAGAATAATCAATGACAGTCCTAAACATCAATGGAAAGATTCCAGTAAACAATACCGAATGAAGGTAAAAGATAATGTTTGTAACCGTTAACTATTCACAATTGAAACAAATCTTACTTATCCATGAATGAATATAAACAAAT